GCTACATGTGGACCTTTCTGAGATTTGTTCATTTCGTGATGATATCTTAAATTCCCTAATTTTGGTGAATATTTTTGTAATTTTTGGTAAAAAGTGATATTTTTGAATTCTTGTTGAAAACAGCAAGTCGGATTGCTATACATACTATACATATTGTTCATTTTCTAATGTTATCTTCAGTTCTTTAATTGAAATGTGCATTGATAACAGCGGAGCTATCTCAGCTGAGAGGCTGCTTGTTACTTTTTACATATCAATACACTTGAGTGATCAGGTGACACATAACACCATTACAAAAATATGTATTCTGACGCATGCAATAAAGTAGTCCCAAAAACGTCACAAATACATTGAGTGTGACAAGTTTTAAAACTTTCACCAATACGGTAATAAGTAGCGTCTAAAAATTATAACTATTAGTGTTGATTACTTTGTGTTGCAATGTTTACTGGTACATAATGAATGAATGGTATTTTACATTTCCAAGTTTCAATATCTGATTTATGTATTCATAAGCTTAATATCAAATTTCAGTCCAGGCTTTTCAGAGCCAAGTTTTAAATTGATGCTTTGTAAAACCAATCTATATGATTGTTCTACAGGAATCTGCTCTGCAGCTGTACACCAGTGTAACCAGTCGTGCTAGTGCTGGGTCTGCCAAATGGGCGTGGCTCAGACTTGGGTTGTATCAACTCAAAAAGCAAGAATATTCTCAAGCAATTTCTAGGTATGATCGGTGATGTAATTCTTCATAATGGAAAGCAAATCATATTTCACCATACTTCAGTGATTTCAATTTTAGTCTATTCAAACACGTAACCAAAAGTTATTATTTTTTTTATAGTCTACAGTGCGCTCTCAGAGCTGACCCTAAGGACGTGTAAGTATATTTAAATTTTGTTTTTGATTTATTTCAAGAGTTTTTCAAATTAATTAATCTCAGTTCAGTCAATGTCCCAAAACAAAATTTTATAGATTGATCTTGGTATGCCTTTCTAGGCATATACTAACATCATTCCGAGACCAATCATGCCAGCTTCACATCTATCACACATATATGCATTTGGTTTGTTATCTGATTCAACAAGATTCACTGTCTCAGTTATAAAAATGCATTAAAATCAAGCTTATTGTTCCAAAACTGGAACCGGAGCAGGATCTCTGGCAAGCATTCCAGAGCTTTATTCAGCTTCTTGTCCATGCCAGGACCAATGCCATGCGCTCATTGTGCTCACAGATATAATAATTTGATGACTTGATTTCTCGTTCATAGATCACAAAAAGTTGATCTTGACCGCACATTTCTAACCTTTGTGTTACCCATTGATTGCAATTGGGTGTTGCAATAATTGCCTTCCCATCGCACATTTCAACCACCGCATTGGTGTTCAATGGCGAAAACACAAACATCTAATGTTTATGATTGCGTATATATCTGCAAGATCCTAGTGTGGTGTGATAGAAATTTACAATTTTCGTAAAAATTTGCCTCCTACTGAATTAAAGCATCTTATATGAAGATGAAGACGCCAGTGCGATACTGTAAGGTCATTTATTTTCAATGACGTTTGATTCTACCATTTGTATGCTTTGAGCAATTTCAGTGGGTTTCGTTTCAAAAATTCGACTGAGAAACAATGAGTTCTATCGGTGTTCTGCATGTTGACATGGATTTAACTTATTGATGAAAACTGCGAAATTAAAAACCAGGGAATAATTAATGAGCTTACAGTAATTAAGTGATAAATATGTATGATACCAAACTGTATCTTCTTTATGTTATTCTTTCTACCAGGTGTTGTTGGGAATGTTTAGCCGAAGCTTATATGAGTAGAGGAAGTTATACAGCAGCACTCAGAGCATTCACCAAAGCGGCCGAGGTTGGTGATAATAAACTTTCATTTAAACAACTGAGATATTTACACTATTTAGTACAATTTTTGTTTACTCATGGATGTTGTAATTTTTTGTAAATACATGTATTTATAAATGTAGATTCAAACTCAAATGAGAGGTTGTGATTCAATATTTTATACTACCCTCTATGCCTGAGGTTTTTTTGAAATTAACTCATATTTTGAGTCTTGAATTGTAATTTAACAATTTATGTAGTAACCATAAACCACTTCTATTGGTATTCCGAAATAAATATAAAGGAATTGATTTTAAAATTATTAAAATTAAAATCTTTTTTTTTTCTTATTTCAGCTTGATGACAGTTCAATCTATTGCCATTTTCAGTAAGTATCAAACAAATTAGTGAAGCAATTTCTGTGTTATTTTTTTTTTACATTTATAGATCAATAAATTGATTTCTATCAATACTTTTCAGAATTGCTGCCATCAAACAAACACTTGGATTGTTAAGTGAAGCTGTTGCCGAGTATACAATTATTCTGGTGAATTCTCCCAATTATGTTCCTGCTTTGAAAGGTAAGAATTGTGATCTTGTGGCCACATAGACATTATTTATAACTTTGCAGCATTGAAATAATGTTCAAGGGCTTTGTCTTTATTTATTTATTTATTTGTTTGTTTGTTTGTTTGTTTGTTTGTTTGTTTGTTTGTTTATTCATTCATTCATTCATTTTGTTTATTTATTTATTTGTTTGTTTATATATTTATTTATTGGTTTGTTCATTCATTCATTCATTCATTCATTTATTTATTTATTTATTTATTTATTTATTCATTTATTCATTTATTTATTTATTCATTTATTCATTTATTTATTTATTTATTTCACAAACTACTACAAGCCTCAAGTCCTTTGTGATTACGACAGTATAATTAGACACTGCATATCATTTAATACTAATTTCGGCAAAGACAATGAGAATTATTATAAGGCAATAAAATTTCTTAGAATTCACAACAAATCACCAAAAAGTCACAGCAAATGGATTAAAAAATGTCTTTTTCATTTGCACCTGAGTTCTCATTTGATTTACTTCACATGCTGCGACAAATGACAAATGCTATTTCTTATAGTCATGTTTTGTTTATGCATATACTGTAAAATACTTTAGTCCCCATTCAGACGCAGCCTGAAAAGGAGACTTTCTAAATTCCTTTTTTCGTCTCCAACATGTTCTCAAAAATTCTGCAGCAGATATCAATGAAACTTGGCAGGGAGATGAACCAGTCTCTGCCTAGAATGCACGTAATTTTTTTTTCAAGATCTGAAAATCCTAAGTGGGTCTCTTTCAAGATTTTCATCCAAAATTACCTCTTCCTACTGCACTGACAGAGCAACTGAGCATGCTCAAAATAAATAATTAGCTTAGGTTGTAATGCTAGGGTTTTTAGTGATGTCATGACCTGGTCATGACCTTGATCTGAATCAGTTACAGATGGGTTATAGCATTACCAATCTCAGTGGAAAATGTTGAGGGGTGTCAGGGTTACATTTTGACGGGAATTATAGTGGTGATAATGAAACAAACCCAGGTCCTGGTAATATACAAAGACTTGACTAACAAAGAAGTCAAGTTGTTATTAAAGGTACATCAAGGTTTACTCAGATTTATGAATGCAGTTTCTTGAGCATGTATGAGACATAGTTTGGTTGCACTTGTGTACTCTGAGATTTTGGCCCGGGTCAATGAAAGTAGAGTACATATTAATTCAACTGTTTGCAAATGTTCCATGTATTATTTCAACATGAGTATTTTATAATTAAATAACAGGGTCTGTGACATTCATGTCTTGTTAATTTTGAACTGAAAAGACAGTTTTTATTTTCTATATGTTTTGATCAATTTTCTTTTTTTCAATCTTATTAAAATTAGTGGAACCAATAATATGTTTTTGTTCTTTTAATTCCTCATTTATTTTTATCTGTTGCAGGAATTGGTGAGAGTTATATTTCGCTGGCTAAAACCGCTCGCATTGAGTTTTTCAATGGAAGAGCAGTCGATCACATCGGTAATGCCGTAATGTACTTATCTACTGCAATAAGAAACAGACCTGATATGTCATGCCATTGGAAACTTCTCGGCGATGCTTGCACAATGATACATCCTATTGACCATCATCTAGTCAGGTCAGTCAATAGTTTGTTACATCCTTTTTATTGGCTCCTGTATTCATCCTATTGACTATCATCTTGTCAGGTCAGTCAATAGTTTGTTGCATCCTTTTTATTGGCTCCTGTATTCATCCTATTGACTATCATCTTGTCAGGTCAGTCAATAGTTTGTTGCATCCTTTTTATTAGCTCCTGTATTCATCCTATTGACCATCATCTAGTCAGGTCAGTCAATAGTTTGTTACATCCTTTTTATTGGCTCCTGTATTCATCCTATTGACTATCATCTAGTCAGGTCAGTCAATAGTTTGTTGATTCTTTTTATTGGCTCCTGTATTCATCCTATTGACTATCATCTAGTCAGGTCAGTCAATAGTTTGTTGCATCCCTTTTATTAGCTCCTGTATTCATCCTATTG